AGCCTCAGTTTCTTTATAGTGCTATAAAATAATTTTTGGATGTAATAGGGTTTTAGGAGATAATAAGTGAACATGCTTAGCATAATTCTTCTAGAAAAATTCAAAGAATTCTTGATGAATCTGACAGTAGCTGGTCCTAGGAGAATCCAAGGAAAAGCAACAACATTAGGCACTTGGATGACTAATATTTATTAAACCTAAATGTATTAAGTGCCTATTGAGTAATGTTTTGTAGGTGGTGAATATGACATGTCTCTCACCTTAAGGGACTTACAATATACAGAGATATTTAATAACCCTTCATCCTTAAACTCATAAGTAGACCTATCTGTACTAGAGCTGACCAAGAAGATATCAGAGGAGCAACTCATTTTCCCCTGGAGCTCTCCATGGTGCTTGCTCCGTGGGCCTTCAGCCTGTCCTGATCCTTCATTGACTCCAGTTCAGAAACCTGGACTCTGGTCCACTCTGCCCCTTTTCTCTTATGGCTTTGTGAGTCAAGGTTACCTGTTGGTCATTTTAGTTGCCAGTCTGCATGTAGTCCAACCTCGTACTTGCCTCTGTTTTGTTTACATTGCATCAGCCTGTGTCATTCTGACTCAGACCCTTCCACGCTTGACCATGACATTCCAACTCAGAGTAGGAATGCAGCTCATTATGAACTGCTACAAGTGGTATAAATAAATATGTTGTTTGAAATACAACTCTTGGAATTTCCAGCTCACATAAACCCTGTCCAGTGTCTGGTTTCTAGAAAATTTCCTGTTATGCTTGGAGCCATTGTGCTGCTCCTAGATCTCCCTCTTAAACAAAACTGCAGAAGGCGCGAGGTTAGGCTGGCTCTGCGCAGGAAGGGCACCTCAGGAAATTCTGTGGCAGAGAGATGCTTTTTGGAGCCAAGTTCTAAATTTATTTTATTTTTTAATCCTCACCCGAGGATATTTTTCCATTTATCTTCAGAAAGAGTTGGAGGGAAGGAGAGAAAGAGAGAGGGAGAGGGGGAGAAATATAAAAATGAGAGGGACACATCGACGGGTTGCCTCCTGCACGACCCTGACCAGGGCTGGGGACAAACCACAACCAAGGTACGTGCCCTTGACCGGAATCAAACCCACGACTCCATTGATCCATGGGTCGATGCTCTAACCGCTGACCCAAACCAACCAGGGTCAGATTCTAACTTTAATACAGCCCACGGGTTAAATCTACATGATATAAGGACTAAATAGAGAGAGAGGAAAAAAAAACCATTAAATCATCAATAATTTTGCTCTTACAAATCGTATTGCATATATTGAAAAATGCCGCTAAGATGGCTAAAATCATCTGGAAAGGAAGAGAGGGAAGGAAATATACAGCCGACGCCCTCTCTGCTTGACTCAGAGAATTAGCTGGATTCTCTCTGCCCCTCCAAGACCTTCATATCATTCATTTCTCTTCAGCCCTGCTGTGCCCACGACAGGCTGGCTTCCAAAGCCTTTCCCCAGCATTCCTGGGGTTTCCTGGAAGCTTGTTCCTTGTGGTATCCTTGTGTCCCAATCATCTGTGTGCTGATTCGAACCTTTAGCACTTTGATGCATGGCAAAGCTCAGCCCCTTCAAAAATTTCACAGGAAGCCCACTCACCACCATCCTTTTATGAGTGTAGTAGACTTTTCTCGTAGATTTAGGGGCATGTCTTGTAGTGCCCTGTGCCCCTCTGTTCTCTCCGTGCCCCTCATCCTCCTTTTCCCCATTTTGCATCTGCTTCTGTGCCAGGATTGTCTCAGAAGTTCTCTGTTACCCCTGTATCATGTCGACGTTTCGGCCTGTCTCAGTCTGAACTGAAGCAGCGTAGCCCAGGCCATTGAGGTAATCACGAGAAAAGCTGGTGTAGCTGCAAAGGTTGGTTTCTGAAGCCCCATTGAGTCCACACCCGGCTCTGCCACCTGCTGTGTCTGTGACTTTGAGCAAGTGACTTAACCTCTCTGATCTGTGGGATAAGGAAAATAATAGTACTGTCTTGCCAGTTTTGTTTTTGTTTTTGAAGATTGAATGCATTTTGTGTATGTTAAAATTTCTTTCTCCTTTTTTCATTTACTGGTTTGTTTTTACCATCATTATATCCAATGTTCCTATTACACTAAAATTTGAAAAAGGGATCTTAGCTAAGAAACAGAGTAAAATAATAGCTTACTTAAAAAAAAAAAGACTAAGATAATATGGTTTCCACCAAGAAAGTGAATGTGATACTTCGTGTTCTACAACATTGTCCTAATATTGTTGCACTATTTTAAAAGAATGATAATTGTATGCATGAATATCTGAGATAATTTTAAACTAAATATTTTTTCTTTTTATTGAATTTTAAAACCTATTTTTGGTTTATTTTTGATGTCTTTTGCTCCCATTATCCTGATTAAGCCAGAGTTGGATATAGTTGTGCATACAAACTGACTCATTTGAAAATATCTTTTGTTTACCAACCCTTTAAAGTCTATGCTGACATTCCTACTGTTTACAGTAATATTTACAACATGAAGTTAACAAAATTTTGAATTGATTCTCTTCCATGTTTCCAGCATTGCTCAGAGAATAGTCAGCCTGTGTTCCTATTTCCACATACTTTGTTAGTGTAGTATTTTAAGGACCGAAATGAATTTATTTTACAGTAATTTTATAGAGATTATAAGGGGCTCCCTATTCATCAACTCAATTTATTTTATTTATTCATTTATTTTTTATCCTCACCTGAGAACATTTTTGCATTTTATCCTCAGAGAGAGTGGGTGGGAGAGAGGAAGGGGGAGAGAGAGAGAAAGAGAGACATTGAAGTGAGAGAGACACATCGAGTGGCTGCCACCCACACGACCCCGACCAGGGCTGGGAACAAACTGCAACCAAGGTACGTGCCCTTAGCGGAGACCGAACCTGGGACTCTCTGGTCCATGGACCAACACTCTAACCACTGAGCCAAACTGGCCAGGGCAACTCCATTTATTTTAATGTATTATTTAGCAGCAGAAGATCCCATCGTTTCAAACGGGTAATTTCTAATTTTCTCGCTGAGATGTTGAGCATCACGTTTTCCCCTGTGGACTCTGTCAGTTGGTGTGCACACAGAACGCTTGGCAGATGATTAGCACTTAGTATCAGTCATTTGACAAGTTGGGCCATATTTCTCAACAGCTGTTTTACCATAGGGGACTTTCTGAGCAGCAAGGCAACTAACAGTGCCATATGATGTCAGTGAATAAGTTGCAACCAACTCATCATAATAAGGACCACTTGTTTGTCCTCACATGAAATCAGTTGGCAGTGGTGTCTTCAATAAAGCTGTACATTACCTAAAGCAGCTGAAATTAATAGAAAGGTTTTTGTTTTGTTTTGTTTTGTTTTTTTAAACTCTAAAGGAAATTAAAATAGGCTCAAGAGCCCTGGCTGGTTTGGCTCAGCGGTTAGAGCATCGGCCTGCAGTCCAGAGAGATCCAGGTTCGGTTCCCACTAAGGTCACGTACCTTGGTTACGGTTTGTCCCTGGCCCTGATTGGGTCGTGCGGGTGGCAACCAGTCGATGTGTCCCTTTTGCATTGATGTTTCTCTCTCTCTCTCTCCCTCCCACTCTATCTGAACAAAAAATGGAAAAATGTCCTCGGGTGAGGATTAAATAAATAAATAAATAAAATAAAATAGGCTCATGATCCTTAGGTCCCTTTCTTTGAATGTCTATTATGGAAAACTCATAACACATTTTCCTTCAGAAATAATGGAATAAGTGTCACTGTTGAGACCCCTACATTTGTACCCACAGTCCTTTGTAACCCTTATGAAACTGAGCCGTAGTCACTAGCAGAATACAACACTGTTTCAATGAAGATGTCTTTTTTCTTTTTCCTTACTTTCCTTTGAGTCCTTGCAGGTTCTGCTCAATGAGGAGTACATTTGGTAGCAACAGGGACATACCTCATTGCCAAACCAGGAGAGGCCCCAGTGATCTAGGGAATACGGTATAGCTAGCATTCTGTCCTTGCTCCGATACCTAGGTGTATGCTGAAACTCAGGTGCATGTTGGGTGCCCTGGTATAATCCTGGGGATGCTTTTCCTTCACTCCCATCTTCTGCTTCTGTTTAACTGCTGCTATTTGTACAGTGGTGACAATGATGGCATCTGATAGAACTGCAAAGGGGATGACATACGCTCATGTATTTGAAGCATCTGGGCATGGAGAACATGTCCAATAAATGGCAATGTTATTATTTTATCCTGTGGGTCTAATCCAAATTGCTTATTATTTATGCACACATGAGTCACTTCAGTACTTAGTATCATTCACCATTTAATCCTGCCATCCTCCCCCTTAGGAGATTTTAGCTGAACTATCGGCTTCCACGCTCTGTTTATGTATTTCTGTGTACATGTTATGTATTTCATATTAAGGATTTCTGTTTCCGTCTGTCTCCCTCGCCGGCCATGCGCGCTTGGAGGGTGAGGACCACGTTTACTCACATCTGTGTCTGCAGCAGCGAGCACTTTGGCTGGGACACTGCTGGGCTGAGCGTGTCTGTCGGCTGAGGTCAGCTCCTCCTGTCTGTCTTCCCAGAGGCCATCAGAAAGGACATGTCTTTCTTAATTGAACCTGAATGGTGTTTAGGGGAGAAGATTGAGTCATTCGTTCACTTCCTCAGTATTTGCTGAGCATCTACCGTGGTTCACTCAGTGAACAAAACCGAGGTCCGTGTCCTCATAGGGCTTTTACAGAGTTACTTCAGGGCCACTCTCTAGTGACTAAACACCACTGGGCGTGCAGCATGTTACTGAGTTGTATTTCAGAGCAGTCCCCGGGGGTGTGTATCATAGAACATGCATTTAAGATATGGACTCATGGTTAAGTTCATGCTCAGATCAGAGCCTCTATTATTGCACATTGATCTTAACGAACACCCGGCAGTTCCCACGCTGGTGTTCAGTGTGACCCGCATCCTGGATCGGCTGCTGATGGGGTTTGTCATTCAACATTTTCAGACTTCCAGCAGCGGAAGGCACTCTGTTCGCATCACCGGCCTCAGTACTATTGATTTCCGGGCTGGTTTTTCCCGAAAGCCCACCCTGGACTTCAAAAAAACAGTCAGCAGACCAGTGCAAGGTTTGTACGTGCATGTTTCTTAAACTGGTGTAATGGATATCCCAGTGAAAATCTTTCAGCATGTCTGTGATTCTATGATTCTGTTCTAGTCAATAAAACTGGGAAACACAGCATCTTTGACCATGGTTGCGCTCTTGGCCTAGTCGTGGCTTTTTAGCGTGTAGTCCCAAGACCAGTGATACTGAAATTGCTTCGGGAGATGGTCAAAAATGGAGATTCCTGGGCCGGGCCCCGGAGCTCCTGCAGCAGACCCACAGGAGACGGGGCTGGGCATCTGTACTTCCAGGAGGACCCCAGTTGATTCCTGTACTTACTAAACTTTGAATCTACTGACCTAGATCTTGAGTCTTTCTTTTACATCTATAAATTGTCTTGTTATCAAGGTGAAAAGGTAGATTGTATGTGTGTGTATATGGCTAAACAATTAAAGATAGTATGTATCATTCTATGTTGAAGGATGAAATTATTGCTGACTTTTAAAGCTTGTTCTTCCTCTTATTTTATTTATGCATGATTTATTTATTTTATTTATGCATGATTATTTATAGTTTTAGAGCTATAAAAAAAAAGCTCAATCCTACTATGACTCCTTACATTTCTTTTCCTGGTGGTTCTTTTATTTTTATTGCTGCACTTATAGGAAGGATACAAATAGTGAACTTTAAAAATCTTCATGTAATCAAACATCATAGAACACAATATTCACAATTCTAATTTTTCTATATATAAACATAGTTAATAGACTACAAAATAATCACGTAATGATTTCCTAAGTATGTCTGGTCACGAATAAACTGTTTTATGTAGAAAAGATTCTAGAACTTGGCCACAATTTGTACTTACGGTCGTATGTTACTTGAAAACAATAACAGAGTCTTTCTCTTATAGGAATACCTACCTATGTGCTTCTGAATACTTCTGGAATTTCCGTCCCAGCGAGAGTAGATCGCCTTGAACTTCTGAGTATCTCAGGCAGTTCTCTTAAGACTATTCCTGTGAAATATTACCCAGATCGAAAACCTTATGGCATATGGAATATTTCTGACTTTATACCACCAAATGAAGCTTTCTTTCTCAAAGTAGCAGGTTATGATAAGGACGATTATCTCTTCCAGAGAGTATCAAGTGTTTCCTTCTCTAGTATCATCCCAGGTGAGACATTATTTTATTTGACACTGAAGTATTGATTGCTTGGGGTGCGGGCAGGGGGGGCGATGTGGTCCTGTAGGTAAAGAATAGATTTTAAAATTAAAAATAGTATTCTTATGCCCTGGCTGGTTTGGCTCAGTGTTTGGAGCATCAGCCCACAGACCGAAGGGTTGCAGGTTTGATTTCCAGTCAAGGGCACATACCTGGGTTGCAGGTCCCATTCCTGGGGGAGAGGGGTTCATGCAGGAGGCAACCATTCATTGTGTCTCTCTCACATAGATGTTTCTCTCTCCCTCCCTTCCATTATCTAAAAATCAGTGGAATAGTATCCTCACATTGTTATTGAGTTACCAAATTGATGAGCATTCATACACAGATCACGCAACTTTTAAATTTTCTTCACTATGAAATAGCACATCCAGAGTTTCACGCTAAGTCTCACTGATTGTAGATCTGATCATTTTGGTTATGTCAATCAATGTAAGAAGCCAAAGCGGGAGACTCTAGTGCTCTTATTTCCCCTCCAGAGCTGGCTCTGTGTGTTTCATCTTCGAATGATCTGTCGAAATGGACGAAATGTTTGTGTCCAGTTGTCAGAAAACCACTTTGTCGGCAGTAGTTTACTGTAAACAATTGGTGATGACTCTGCCTTTATTTAGTGAGTTGGTTTGTTAGTTACTAGTGAACTAGCTACTTATATGTTTGCTATTATCTAGAGATGAGGTCACAGCTTGGAGATTATTTGGAAATATCAGGTAGTTTACTGGTTTGTCTATACTTGTGCTGTTTCTTAAGGCTGATGACCGGACTCTGATCGAAACCTTAGAACTGTAGACAAAGGTATAGGATTGTTTCTAATACTGTACCATCGGATGGAGGAACATTTATCATATTTATCATTTATACATGAGGCCATGATTTGGGAAGTTCAGGAACTCTGTAGCTGTTGTTTACAGTTGTAAACTGATGAGAATAGCGCCAACATCAGTGTTCCTCATTTACAATGTTCAAAGTTGGTTGTTTCAGCCCGTGAGTTGAATACTTTAAAATCTATTGGATTCTTAAAAAATAAGCTTTTCCGTTGTTTGTAGAAAAATAATCACCCTACAAATTCAATTGTAAGGTGTGGGTTCTGTTCACATATTTATATTTTGAAATCAAAATGTTTTCTACAATTGCTAATGTATTGTAACTAATGTGGTAGTTTTTTGTTTTTTTTTTTCCTCGATCTTGGTAGTATAAAAAAATATTACATCTTAAAATCAATGGAGTCTTAGATTCCACGAATACTTTAGTAAGGGTTCAGGAAGACATTGAAATTAATAAGCCTTGAACACAGAAAGATCAAGTGATTTTCAGTGACTTAGATCGATTGGAATACAGAAGATTTACTTAAGGATGAAGCTTTTTGAATGGCTTGACAGGAAGTACTGAATATCATCGTAACCTTCTCACCCGTGTTCTTCTTTCCCTAGATGCTCCCAAAGTTACGATGCCTAAGAGGACGCCGGGATACTACCTGCAGCCAGGCCAAATCCCCTGCTCCGTGGAAAGTCTTTTGCCCTTTACCTTGAGCTTTGCTAGGAATGGAATCGCTCTCGGCGTAGACCAGTATTTAAAGTGGGTACATGTTTCTATTGATGAGTTATAGCATTAAACATCTAAATACAAATAATACTTATTTAGAAAAGATACTTATTTTCATGTGCTTTTTATTGGAAACCCTCATGTATTCGCTCTGTAGCCTCGGAACTTAGCAGTGAGCAGAACGGACACAGCTCTGTGTTCTTGGTGGAGCTTGTACTGTGATGGAGAAAGACAGAAAAGAGATGACAAATGTAATTTTTTAATATAATAAATGCTAGAGTACCTTCAGAGTTGACTTGGGTTCTGTAGAATCTGACTTTTATACAATTCAAGGGCCCCTAGGTAAATCAAATAATACAAAATTATGGATACAAAGTTAGGTACCAAACCTTGGAAGGGTCCTTGCAAATGAGAGGCCCTGCAGCTTCCGTTGTACTGACTTCCGGGCACACATGTCTCTGAATCGGACTGAAAGTGTTACTATGATAAGTGAATCTGACCGGTGTTAAGGCACAATGTGGAACGGGTTCATTGGGACAAGTAATGCTGGTAGGTTGGGTGCATGTGGTTTTGGCCAAATTGCAATTTTAAAATTCAGGATAAGGGGCATTTGTGCAAAGACCTGAACATGGTGAGAGAGACGTGTGCAGATATCAGGGGTGCGTGTGCACACACTGGGACCAGCAAGTGCACATGTCCGGAGGCTGGAGTGAGCAGGCCTGTGGGGAGAAGGGCAGGAAGAGGCCAGTGTGGCTGCAGCCCAGTGAGCCAGGAGGAGACGAGCAGAAGATGAGGTCGGGAAAAGTGGCGTGTGCCGGGGTGGGGTGACAGGTGGAGCGCACACCTGTGCCGTCTGTGTGGTCACTGAATGCACTAGAGGGCAAAAGTAGGTTTGCGGTTGTGAGTACGTGAAACACAGAGTTTATTCTTATATTATTATTTATTAATGATTGTGTTATTTTTCATTCGAACAACTGTAAACTTTGCCCCACCCTGTATAACAGGGGGAGTGGGCTGGAGGGTGCTGACTGTCCTTGTGAAGATGGGTAGCTTTTATTTTTTAGTCCTCACCCAAGGATATTTTTCCATTTATTTTCAGATAGAGTGGGAGGGAGGAAGAGAGAGAGAGAGAGAGAGGGAGTAACATTGATGTGAGAGAGACACATCTAGTGGTTACCTCCCACACAACCCCAACCAGGGCTGGGACCAACCGCAACCAAGGTATGTGCCTTTGACCGGAATCAAACTCGCAACTCTTTGGTCCACACATCGATGCTCTAATGGCTGAGCCGAACCAGCCAGGGCAGGATGGGTAACTGTTTTAGACAAATATAAGTAACCTAATACAAATTAAGTAGATCTTGAAAACCAGAGGATGATTTCTGGAAAATGTTTTTTTGCTTGTTTGTTTTTTAGCTTACTGTGAAACCAACTACCTTTGGGGAAAATTTCTAGGATTTATTTTACAAAACTTTCATACTGCTAATTCAATAAACAACTTCCGTCGATGTTACATATTTGACAGTCTTCGTTTCTACAGCCTCCTTATGGGGTGGTCATTTTAAGTCCAAACTCTGGCAGACATGTTCCTTTTAAATTTAGAAACGTTTCCATTCTACAAAGATTGCGCTGCTTTATTTCCTGCCACTTTGTTCTCACGTCGTATATCGTGATGATTTACTTTGCTCCATATTTAATAACTGTAAATCAAACCTCACTGACCAGGATATCAAATGATGAAGCTACATAACTGACTGATGACATCAAACCATTCTGCTTCATGTTTAAATAGTAACATGTCTCGAAGACATGGGGTTCTTTATAAACATGAATTCCACGCAGTTTCTGGGAGGTAAGCCACAAAAATGCTCTCTCTCATTGATCCAGCTCTGTGATGCGGAGATGTCGCATGCTTTGCTGACATGTATTAAAGCTTTGTGGATGCGAGAGGCTACAGCAGAATTAGGTGTGGGTGATGATGGATTGATACTCTAGCCCTGATTCACTTGCACATCTCTGGACTGGATTTCATAATAGCTTGAGACATGTGACTGAATCTTTGTTCTGTGAATCACTGTGGTCACTAGGGGAACGTAAGATAGTTTGCATTAACAGCGGAACACATTTTTATTTGACATGTTCCTTCCCCTGTTGCAAAAGCCATCCCTTCAAAATGTTTTCTTGTGGCCAGACTGTCTCAGTGTCAACTGAGAAGGAAGGCTCCATGAAAGAAACAACTATTTTCATGTAATATTTCATAAATAAGAGAGGAACTGGAATAGCTGTAAAGAATATTATTCAACTAATCTGTATGCTCGTTATGTGCCCTTGAACACATTCTTTGTCCTTCTTTTCTGGATCTCAAATCCCTTTTTATAATGAGGGAGTTGGGACTAGGAGAACTGTCACTTTCTGTTCTAAATGTCCACGTGTAACGTTTTTGATGAATCCTGATATATGTTCTGTCTGAAGTGGGCCCTGCAGAGGACACAAACGACGTATGTATTTTCAATGTCTGCCTTTCGGGAACTTGCCTGTGCCTCCTACACAATGACATTTATAAACCTGGGCTTGATATACTGCTATTAAGCGTTCAAGATACAGCTGAGGTGATCAGTACAGCATGAAGTCAGGACATACTCTGTTTTCTTCTGACTGTGACAGTCATGGCCACCGGAAAGGAGATGACAGTAACCGAACATTCTCAGTTACTAAGATATATGGAGCAATGAGATTGCTGAGTTTCTGACTGTTCTGATGATCGGAACCCATGTCATAACTGTCTCTTCCCAGCTCTAGGTTAGTGCTGGCAGGTTACTCCTTCGCGGATGTTTGGTGACGAGATGGTTTTCTCGGATGGCAAGAGGTCTGGCATTACTACTGGGGCGCATTCTTAACTCAGTTTCTGACTTCAGTGGGAGGTGTCTTGATCCTGCAACAAGATTTCCATCTCATCCGTATCTTGAATGTTTAAAATGCTTATAAATAACTACGGATGGTCGTAAGAAAAACTTATGAAAATATTTATGCATTTCAATCATATTTTAAGACAAAACACTGTTTGTTTTATGGCTTATTGGAATCTTTGAAATAACGATTGAAGTTCTATCACTCAGACATTTCCAGAAAGTGAGAAATAATTTGGAGAGTTTTAGAGAACAATATAAATATTTATTAATTGAATCCGTATACAATATAGCAAAGGGATTTTTTTTTTTTTACCTAAATGACCAATGTGACTATGAAACATACTATTTTTATTTTTTAAATCTTCACATAGATTGAACCAGATGTGGTATGTAGCCTTATATGGAAATTCTACACAAGGAAGTTGAAGAGTATTGATCTTTTTTAGAAAAGTCTGTTTTCTTACCTTCACACTGGTTGAATTGCTTGATCGAAGAATCTCACTGAGGATGACCAGAAGCTGGAGACGATGAGGAGGAAGGGAAAATGGAAGAAGCATTTCTCTACTAGCTCCTCATCTTCTATTTCGTCATAGCCAGAAAATACTTCACTAAAGACATGTATAGACTCTTACTTATTGTCTTTGTTCAGAACAGAGAAGCTTAACTTTCTCCTTCAGCTGTAGAAGTTGTGCCCTTTTAAGCTAGAAAAAAACTCTGAAGCATAATCAGTCTCTTTCCTTTACGAATGAAGACTTCCGGACACACAGAGGAGTCGCTGCGTTCGGCTCGGTCTTGTTTTTTCTGGTAACCACAGATGTGTCTGTTTTCTTACCCCAGAGAATCTGCCAGTGTGAACTGGGACATTGAAAAGGTCACTTTGTCCGACGAAGGCTCCTACGAGTGCATCGCTGTCAGCAGTGCAGGGACTGGACGGGCACAGACGTTTTTCGATGTGTCAGGTACTGTCACTCATTGCTTTGCGGTCTGAGTGTGAATCTGCTCACACTCATGGAAATGGACAGTTTGCTTATCCCGGCCTCACCGCGGATCGGCTGCGGGACCTTCCTCCAGCCGGTTGCTTAAGGACTCGGGGTCGTGGTTTCCCTATGATACAATGAGGCTACTAACAGTAACAGTATCTCGTGGCGAAACTGTGAGGATTAAATAAGATCGATAATGTAACACACTTAAAAGAGAGCCTGACACGAAGGCATTCGCTGCTGTTGTTATTGTGTGATTGTTGTTGTTGTCATCATTATTGTAGAGGCTCAATAAATCACTTTTGGAATGGCTGTATAGCATTTTTCCTTTGAAAAAATGAAACTGAAGAAAAGGAAAGGAGCTGTTCTGATAATATTAAGGTTAAACTTTCTGTTTTCTTTTCCCATATTCATAATGAGCAGAGCGCTTTCATGAATGAATCCTGACATCGAAATTGAAGACAGCAGTGAAAGGGATCACATTTAAGAAGCACAGGACCACCCTGGCCGGTTTGGCTCAGCAGTTAGAGCATTGGCCCACAGACCAGAGTCACGGATTCAATTCTGGTCAAGGGCACGTACCTCAGTTGTGATTTGGTCCCCAGCCCTGGTTGCCTGTGGGAAGCAACCAATGTGTCTCTCTCACATCGATGTTTCTCTCTCTCTCTCTCTCTCTCTCTCTCTCTCTCTCTCTCTCCCACTCTATCTGAAAATCAATGAAAAAATATGCTCGGGTGAGGATAAAAAAAAAAAGAAACATAGGTTCTCAGTGGCTACAATACTGGTATTAAGAAGGGCCGAAGACATGCTCATTATTTCATTATTTTACATTTACATAGTGTGTTCCTATGAATGAATGGGAGGCAAGGCTCTGATTATTTTTATTAGGCAGAATAGCTTTTAATGAAAAAATTATTTTCTATCTAATCTCCCAGAATTCTTAGGAAACAAAAAAACTCAAACAACTACCATGTATAAGCAATGACCAGAATGTAAGCCACCTACCAGCACACATTAGAATTCATTGCATTGTTTTGCCTCAGTTATTTCTGGCCTGCCTTGCAGACGCGTGTTGCTGAGTGTTAACAGTGAGCCTGTTCTGACCTATCTGTGGCCACTGAGTGTCTAGCGATGTCTGTACCTGCCTGTAGCATCGGTGTGCATTTTCTGGAGACCGTCTCGGACCAAGGAAGCTTGATAATCGCAGGGCCGTTTGGAAGGCGAGCATTTCTGCTTGTTATCAGTAAATCCGAGCCGCACTTGAACACAGAGGCGTGCAAGCATGTTCTCCTTGCAGTAAATTATTTGTATTCCCTTCTTCTTAGAAAAATAAAGTTTGTCCTCTGGAACAATTTAGCAAGTTGACATGCCTCATAAAGTATTCCTTTTTTTTTTTCATCTTCAGTAATTATGCAAAGCATTGGAATTGTGTCAACATTCCTCAGCTTCTGGGAAAACAGACCCTCGAGGGCTGGAGTTGTTTTCCCAGCGATATTAATTCAGAGAAGGACGGCAGGGACAGAGGGCCGAGTGAGTTGATTCAGACAGCGCACATAAATAACGGGGAAGTACCAGTAAGAACTTATGAACTGACTGTGAAGAATTTGGCTCTCTGGTGTCAGCAACTTCTGTATGCGTGTCCTACACAGGCCCTTCTGGTGCGAATCCGTGCCAGCCAAGCAGTGGTATCGCTAGGAAATTGGGCTGTGCCTCAGCCAATTGTCAGGAGCGATGTCCCACTCAGTCCATTATGAAAGAAGGCAAGAGTGTTGGCAGTAGTGACAGTGACCAGAACCGCGGAGGTAACAGGCAGGTGCTCCTTTGGGCTCGAGAGAGTGGACCTTGCCTTCTGGGCTGACTGTCGCTTCACCTGCCAGCCTCAAGCCCGCACCGCGTCTGAGTCTCCCCCAGGCTGGTCCCAGCTCAGCCACCTGCCTGCAGCTGCTCACCCCCCCGGGGGTCAGACGCCAAGTCACAGGACAGGCAGCGCTTACATGTTGGACGGGGGCGTTAGGAAACGTGGCGTTGTAGGATTGTGATGTTTTTCTATCACTGTGGACATCATTGCACAAAATCCAGGAGCACCCAGAAAAGCTCAAGTTCTCCCAATAGGGTACCTCAATTTTCTTCAGTGTTTTCTTGTAGCTGACATGTTTTAAGGATTTTTGGTCCATTGAAAATATTGGTTATTAATTGTTTTAAATGTAAAAAGCATTATACGTCTCTTTAATTGCATATCTGTACATAGAAGCTAATGAATAAGACTGCAGAGGCAGGGAAAAAATTATTTTCAAGTGATAGTTGGTAGTTTGGTACTATTCCAAGGTGGTGTTCATTTTCTCTACTGAATTTTCTTCATTAACATAATCCCCCCTCACCAATGCACGCGTGCACACATACACACACGCACACCTAAAATTCTGGGTTTACGTAAAATACAGAAAAGAGAAAACTTGTCAGGAGCATGTCAGTGACAGACAATCTTAAATTATAATTACAGGAATCTCTTTTAGAACAAGGTCATATTTGGAAATAATATTATACTACCTCATCATTTTATAGCTAAAGAAACTGAACCCCAGAGCAGACAAGTGGCCCGTTGATGATCAGATGGGCAGGTAGTGGGACGTGGCCTCCTGGCCTCCCGACTCTCAGTCCAGTGATCTTGACCTAATGTCACAAGGCCTCTGGTCCCCTATTCCTACCTTAGTCATTGTTTCACTGAGGAGTGACTGCCCCTCACCCTCCTAGGACCATTTCTGGTAATTGGTCATCTTGACCTCTTTTGTAAACTGTTGTAATTCTTTTCCATCATCGCCCCATCACCACCAACTTTATTTATGTATGAATAAATATATACTTCAGCATGCATAATATTTATTATCTGTAGGTATTTATGCAGTGGTGGTATTGCGTGTCATATTTCAAATCTCATCTGTTTCTGAATGTTATTAGAAAATTGGCATTTTGTGGATTTGGGCTCATATTTGAAGAGGAAATAGACTTTGAGGCAGATTTTGCATGCCAGGGAGTTTGGGGGGAGTTTCTTGGATAAAAGCACCTGTAAGGCAAGGCAGTGAGATTGTAATGTAGACACCACGGGAGCCTCAGCTAATCCCACAGGGAACTATGGAGCTGGGATGACCCCGAGCTGGGGCAAGAGAGCTGGACCTTTGCCCCCTCATAGTGTGGTCACTGGAAGTGAGCTCCCCGGGAAGGGAGCCCGACCCTGAGCGTGTGAGTTACTTCGACTCTGAGCTCTCAGCAGCCAACAAGTGTAGCAGCTGGAGCAGTGTGTGCCTCCTCGGTCCCAAGGGGGGTCTGGGCATGCGCCCAGCATCTCCTACCTGCCCCTCATGTGGATCTTACACTTTCTCCAAATCTTGTAAAATCCCTCTTCTAGTTAAACAAGTTTGTTCCAAAATAAAGTGTTGATGATAATGACAATAACTAGACCAGCAGATGTAACAAGCATGTAGGTGCCCGATGGACTTGAAAAAGTGGGTATTTCTTCCTGGGCTAACTTTGCTCCACCCACCAGCCGCAAACCCGCACCCACTTCTGGTTCTCCCCTGGCCAAGGCCGAGGTCCAGCGCAGCTCCCCCACTCTGTGGTCTTCAGAAAGGTTTTGCTAGAGTGTGAATACAGGCACGCGAATAATCGCTTCCAGATCTTTGGTGGGTCTTTTGTGTGAGAATCATAGAATCATACCGCCCAGTATGTTAGAATCCTAGAACCTTAGCACTAGACTGAGCCTTTAAGTTACCAGAGTCGATCATCTCATTTTTCAGATAGGGAAACAAACACTGCTCGTAAATTGGCTTATCTAAGGTCACAGAACGAATTAGGGGTAGGGCTAGGCAGCTTTTGGTTGCCAGGTTCCGCAGATAAAATCATAAGGTGCCCAGTTGTATTTACATTGCATGTAAGTGGCTCCCAAATAGTTCATGAGACCTAGTTATACGAAAACATTATTTGATGTTTCTCTGAAGTTCAAATTGAACAGCGCATCCTGTGCTTTGTCTGTCTAGCCAGGCTGCAGTCAGCCTCTGCTAACATTGCTCTGTACTCTCCACTCAATTCACCAGCTGTGTTCGTAAAAGATTTCAAAAACATAATATATTTGTTTTTCTTTTATCATTTAAAATAGCATCTACTCCCCTGAAAACGTTTGGGAAACAAGGATTAAAAAAGGGAGAATCTGGAATATATACACATTTCTTTCACTCAGAGATAACCACTATGGTTTTGGCATATTGCTTCCAGGTTTATTCTAGGCTTGCGATATTCATCTGCACTTACATACCATTTTAAATAAAGAAGGATAGTTTGAATATCTGATACTCTTTTAGTTAAACTAAAACAGACATGCGGGTTTCCAGGTAGCACAACTCACCACCGGTTTTATTGCTGTCTTTTTACTCAGTCGTGTTTTGCTACAGCAGATCATCGAAAGCCTTCGGGCAGAGTGAGCTTCCGAGGGGCGTTTTGATTTATTTTCAAACCCAACTCGAGCACGAAGTGATTCTAGACGTGTTGGTTAAACCGTTCATTTGGAAGTGGCTTTTGACCACATCTGAAAGGTGCATGCATTAGTCAGCGCCTTGTGTACATGGCGCTGTGTGCACAATTTTGTCAAAGGTCTATCCCTACTGTTAGCTTGACCTGCTGGGGGAACATTTGTCTTACTCTGCTGGTGTAGTACTGTATCTTCTCTTTTTGATCCTCACCCGAGGACACTTTTGCATTTATCTTCAGGTAGAGCAGGAGGGAGAGAGGGAGGAAGAGAGAGAGGGAAGCATCGACTGGTTGCCACCCACACAACCCCAACTGGGACCGGGAACAAACTGCAACTGAGGTATTTGCCCTTAGCAGGAACCAAACCCGGGCCTTTCTGGTCCGAGAGCCGACACTCTAACTGCTGAGTCAAACGAGCCAGGGCAGTACTGTATCTTCCAATATTGCCTTATCTTTCCCATATCTGCCATATTTAATGTGCTGTTTTCTTTAAAACACTAGATAAATATTTTAATTACATTTATTGGGACAACATTGGTTAATAAAATTATATAGTTTTCAAGTGTGCAATTCTATAATACATAAATATTTTTCAGTTAAAAATTCTTAAATTCTACTTTCTTCAAAACTCAAATCAAGAATTGACTTATTCGCCCTGGCCGGTTTGGCTCAGCGGTTAGAGCGTCGGCCTGCGGTCCAGAGAGACCTGGGTTTGATTCTCGCTAAGGGCACGTACCTCGGTTGCAGTTTGTCCCCGACCCTGGTTGGGTTGTGTGGGTGGCAGCCACTCGATGTGTCCCTTTCACGTCCATGTTTCTCTCTCTCTCTCTCTCCCTCCCACTCTATCTGAACAAAATATGGAAAAATGTCCTCGGGTGAGGATTAAAAAAAAAAAAATTAGCTTATTCAAAAATCCTAAATCTGCTTAGTCATATCCTTTGGCCATGTCTCTTTTTATAACGTGTAGATTTAGTCGTGAATATACTTTGGTTTGTGAACATGCTCTACTCTTTAAAGTATCTTTCAACTAGATGACGACATTCTTAAGGTGAATGACATATGTATTAATGAATAAGTTCTCTTGTACTGCATTTCTTCTACTGGATATTCAAAACATAGTCATTACATTTTTTCTTTGAATCCTTGCCTGAGGACATGCTTATCGATTTGAGAGAGAGAGAGAATGAAAAACACCGATGTGAGAGAGGAACATCGGTTGCCTCCTGGAAGTGCCCGGACTGGGGATCAAACCCACAACCTTTCGGTGTACAGGACGGTGCTCCAACCAGCTGAGCCCACCAGCCAGGACTAGTCATTAACATGTCAGACCACACCTATCAGGGAGCACATTGGCTTTCAGTCTCTTGATTTGAATCTTCTCTTCTTGCACAGAGCCCCCTCCAGTCATCCAAGTGCCGAGTAACGTCACAGTCGCTCCCGGGGAAAGAGCTGTTTTGACATGTCTGGTCATCAGTGCGGTGACTTACAACCTCACCTGGCAGAGGAGCGACAGAGATGTCAGACTGGCAGACCCAGCAAGAACGCGGATCTTGGCCAACCGCTCACTGGAGCTGAGGACTGTGAAAGCCACGGATGCTGGAGAGTATCACTGTCTGGTTTCCAACGAAGGCGGGTCATCCGCTGCTTCAGTTTTCCTCACCGTGCAAGGTACTGTGCTGATGGTAACTTCTGAGTTAGTCTTTCTGTCATCTCCTCCTCTGATCTTTGTTCCCTTCAGTTAGCTACCCGAGAGTGATGTGTCTACCCAAACAATTACAGTTTGCGTGACAGAATGCGTGTGGATCTTGGGTGCCCAGTCTAAGGTGGACTAAACTGGAAACTGAAACTTCACTAATGAATAGGTGATTTGAAAGCTAACACAACTAATCCTAATCGTTAAACACTTTTACTTCAAAAATAAAAGTCATCTGGATGATTTAATAGTTTTAAATTCTCCAATCTATCATGTGGATTTTTAAAAAATTGTTTTAATGACTGGTTCAAACAATTTCTTTCCAATTTGAGGATTTTACAGTTATGTCTAACTAATGTATTTGTGTTGTTTTAATTAAGGGTTAAGATGTTTCTCATCTTGGTTCAGTTTTATTGAAAATTAAGCAGAGTTGTTTTTACCTTATTTATCTTACACACACACACACACACACACACACACAGAATGCTTATTTAAAATGAACTAACGGTAAGCCAAACTTGAATGATGTCTACATAGACGAAATGTTCTGATAGCTGAAAACAAGTTATTAACAATGTTTTCAGGGTTACTAAGTTTGTATATTACTCAGGACCAACAAATTAAGATCAGAAACGATCCAAAGTATCTCTTTCAGTAGAATCATATTTGGCTTCTAAATGCTATAGTCCAGTGGCAGTCTTAGGGGGTAATAAACAAATGACTGTTGGCAGTTTCTCACTGTTAGGCTGAAAGGTTTGGTTGCTGCATCAGCAGAATATTTCATTTCAAATCCTTGATGTGGAAAACCGATTACATCAGAATTGGGCCTGGCTATTTGGTTATGGGATTAGAAACAACTTTGTATCATGCCTGAAGTAACACTCTCAGATGAGTTCTTAACAGAATTATCTAAGAGATTGGCCAGTGAGTTTCAAGGCTCTTACAACTTTGTTAATGGCAGAAAAGTGAAACTACCTTGAGAATGAATAAAATGGTTGACATCTGATTCTAGTTTTCTCACTGGTAGTTGAGTTATGTTCTGCGACCAAATGTGTGCCTTTTGTTAGTTGATCTGGTGAAGTCTCTAGGGAAATGTTGCTTTGTAAATGGTCCACTACATTTCCACAGGGTAAGCTGTCTAGATAATTTGAGTCAAGGCAAGTAGAAACTTGAGTTACCAGGATTTTGAAACCATTTTTACAAAACTGGTTGTTTCAGATCAAATAAATGCTAATGGGCTTCGGAAATTTCATCTTGGTTCCTTGCCTGAAGTCCTTCACAGGGGGGTTTAGAATAAAATCAGAGCTTTCTTTGTCTGCCCAGGTGAACACTTTAGTTTGCTAGCACTCTGTCTAGTGAGTCAGAGCAGTGATCCTCAAACTTTCATGGATAAAGGATTATCCAAGGAACTTATTTCTTAGAAAGCAAAATTCTAACCCTACATTCAGAGATTCTGATTCCATAGGCCTGGTGTGCAGCCTGGGAGTCTGCATTTATAACAGACCTCTCAGTGGGTTCATGGGCAACACTATCTGAAAACAACGTTGGAATCTATTCTATAGAATGAACCCTATGCTCTAGAAATGTAGCCTTTGCCTCTCTTCTTTTTGGTAAAATAGAGTAATTATTATCAAATGATTTAAATAAGTGTTGAGGTAAGATGGTACCTAATTATACAAAACATAAATACAAAAACATGGCATTACATGATTACTGGCTAGTCTGTATAATGTCTCGTGGTGTAAGTCTGCTTAGAGGCATTATTTTATGGCCTGTCTAGTTAGCCTTGAGTCCGAGGGACAATTTGGGTAAAAAAGGATGTTTTGAGAATCTAACAAAAATATATTTCAGAATTGATAACACTGTTTAATGGAAAAAATAAGAGATTCTAGCTAGTTATGGCCATCTGAATATATTATTTTATATACATAAGGTTATAATTCAGAGGAAACTTCAATGTAAGATTTATAGGTATATACCATGTATGGGTATATATCAAAGATAACTGAAGATAAAGAAATGGTCAAGGATATAATTGTAGGAAATTGTCCTAGAGAGGAACAAAATTGTGTCCTGGGTGAGCAAATCAAGCAAGGTCAATGAAGGGAGAACCGCATCTAGACAGATCCCGGCTGAGATTTTGAATTCCTAGTATGAAGGGAAAAAAACCTCTCTAAGCATATAGACTAAACCAATATGTTGTAGAAGGAGGGATCAAGTTAAACCGGTGTCAGACTTCTCAGAGATGCTAAAGGGTAGAAGATAATTGCAGGGAATATTTGTCATATTTTGATCTTAGTGTATGAACACGTTCCTTAATTTTGGGAGGAATTTGTTATTGTCTTTGTGGGAAGCAGAAAACAAACGAGACCAGAGAATTTCCTTTCCCCATGCAGGTTGCATGACCTAGCTCAAATTCTCTCAGTGGGACTAGGACTTTGCTAAAACCATGGACACTAAAAAGACTTCAGTTTTGGCAGCATTATGGAATTTTGAGCTCAGTAGCAGCAAAAAAAAAAAAAAAAAAAAAGTCCCAATGGCCTTCTTCTGTCATCCTAACAGATTTCTTTGGCATGATATTGGCTGTGTTCTCAGATGCCTGGCCTTCTTTGGTTTCTACCTGACATCCACTCTCCTTTTGATTCCGTAATTCAAAAAATATGGTTCCAATGAATTTATTTTCTGCTTAAGTTAGTCAGCACTGGTATCTATTGTTTGCCGTGGAAAACCTTAACTGGCATAGTAATGGAAAAGACACATGCAGTTTTGGAAGAAAAGATTAGGATCCAAGAATTTCAGATCCAGTTAAATTACCTTTTCTATGAAAAGCCATCAAAAGAACATTCCTCAATGTTTGAGGATTTAGGAAAAATACCCAACATATAACCTTCTTAAAATGATTTATTGAAAATGCTACTTAATACCTTAAATCGATTGTTTTAAGAAAAGAAAAGGATATGAAAGTTGGAGAGGCTATGGACCAAAGAACTGGGGACTATTAAGCTCTTAGTTCGTCAGAGTAGAAATGCTGTCCTGAGAAACCACAGCTGTTTGAAGCAGTCACACTCATGAGCATGTGAGAAGGTGAATGAGTTGATAAGCCTATTTCATTATGAGAATTCCTCACTCTGGAGATAATGGATTAGACACAGGAAATTCCTCCGAAAAGGGATTCCCTCTAGCCAGGTTTGTCACGAGACTCCAAAGTCCTGTTATGCAAACAAATAGAAAGCACCACAGCTATGCAAAAGAAAAAAGGTTGATTAATATACCCAAAAATCTGGATGTGATTGTTTGGGAGCACTGGAACTATTTATACTTGTGCTTTTTTTCCCCCTGTACTTGAAAAAAAGTAAGGAATGGATTATTTTTAAACTTTCTGTAAATAGTATTTTAAAATATTTGGAAATGCACATTAATCTATTCAGGGATTGTATTACATATGGGTAATATGTTTGCATTTCTTTGCCAAATACTCTATAAATTTACCTTATCACTTTTATATGGAACATAATGAAGCTATAATTAAGAAAGTAAGTAAGTATAAAATAAGACATACTTAAAGTAAATTAAGAGGTAATGCCTTTCAAAAAGCAAAACAATAAGTCTGAAAGTAAAAACCTTGTTTAGGTCAGACATCAGTCTGCCAGAAGAAACATGTAATCCGACTTATGTAATTAGAAGTATAGAGTAGGAGGTAAGGCTCTCGAGACATGTACCCTTACATGAAAAAGTTTAGCTCTAAAAAGTTCGTCTTGGCGAAGCTCGTAACCTGAGACGGATTTGTCAGCAAGTCCAGTTCAGTTGTCGTGAGGATGTCAGGGCGGTTCTGTTACTGCGTCCAGTAGAAGTTCTTCCCAGGTAGGATAACTGAGGAGTGGTATCAGCTCATGCTGGAAAAGTATGCTTTTTAAAATAATGAAAAACTGATTTAAGTATGTTAGCATTAAGAGAGTCTACTACTTGATAGCAGCATAACATCATCCGCAGCGTGTCCGTCTGTGGTGGCATTTCTTAGTAATTTTAGCTCTCACATGTTATATGCTTCCATTTGGGTTTTCCGTCTTCATGTTCAGATTGCAATGAACTCATTTACCAAAATTCCCCTGGCGAAATTTGCTCCCTCATTGTGTGAACTGGCTGATTAACCGTTTCAGGTCTGGGAGATGGACCAATTTTTTTTTTTTTTACTCCTCACTCGAGGACATGTTTCCATTGTTGTTCAGACAGAGTGGGAGGGAGAGAGAGGAGCAGAGAGAGAGAGAGAGAAACATCAACGTGAAAGGGACACATCGAGTGGTTGCCTCCTGTACGACCCCAACCAGGGATGGGGACAAATTGCAACCGAGGTACGTGCCCTTGAACAGAATCGAACCTGCGACTCACTGGTCCACGGGCCGATGCTCTAACCGCTGAGCCAAACTGGCCAGGGTGAGATGGACCACTCTGAACATGTTTGCACGGGACTTCACTTTCATTCGTAGATGCTGATGAGCTAACTAATGATATTTTCGTGTGTAGAAAAAATAGACAAGTTTATTCTCAGACCCCTTTCCTCCAGAATTGTTCGAACAGGGCCCTGACTTCCCAAGGGTCTGGTAGCACCTCCTGAGAAACTCAAGATGCAGAAAGAACTCACTTTAACAAATAAAATCCCACTAGCAGAAAAGGTTACTTTTGAGAAAACTTGCTAATATGAAATTTCTTTTCCTGTACTTGCTCATCATCCAGAAACTTCTTTCATAACAGTGCACATCGTCTTCTCTGAAAACTTCAAAGAGTGTTTTTTCCCCTACAGTGTGGAATTTATTTTAAAAAGATAAAGACATGGAATTTACCTGAAGACTTAGAGTTGAGATAAGGACCCCGCCTTGCCTTCAGACAGGGTTGTCTGTGACTGTTCCCTTACTCGAGAGGTTTATCTCGTATTGATAATGTTTCAGGAGTTATCCTATATATTTGAAAATGTCTTTTG